GTGAGTGAGTGAGTGTGTGTGTGTGTGTGTGTGTGAGTGAGTGAGTGAGTGTGTGAGTGGCCTAGTAAACCCTACGTTATGGGGACAAAATGTCCCCACAAAGATGGCAATATCCGAAATCCTTGTTCGTGTGGGGACATTTTTTGGTCCCCATGAGGAAATCAGCTTATAAATCATACTAAGTGATGTTGTTTGAAAATGTAAAAATGCAGAATGTTTCCTGTGATGGGTAGGTTTAGGGATAGGGTTAGTGTAAGGGAATAGAATATACAGTCTGTACAGTATAAAAATCATTATGTCTATGGAAAGTCCCCATAAAACATGAAAACACAACATGTGTGTGTGTGTGTGAGTGAGTGTGTGTGTGTGTGTGTAGTGAAGGAAAGGAATAAGACCCTCTAGAGAACTAATACGCAAATTGAAACACACCCAAAGGAGGCAGATTTATATAACAGCCATTGTGTGAGAACGGCAAACAACACAGCAGAAACAACGGATCAGTGTGTGTGTGTGAGATCAGATTACTCCGGCACATCTGGAACTGGAGAAACACAAGAAACATCTCCAGTACCTCATGAAGAATGAGCTCTGGTTTCGGAGGGTTTTCTCTACACTATAGTTAAAGAGCAGCACAGGAACACTCGCTCCAAAACTCCCGAACAACTCGGATTCATTCAACCAAACACAATGACAGTTCCTGTGAATCAGCGACACAGTGGCTTTGTTCAGTTTAGCGCATGACTTCAGAACATCAGAATTCACTTAAACTAAAACACAATCACACCCGTTCATATTTCAGATGAATGGCATTCCCATCAATGTCAGACTCCCATTCAAATTCACTATTATTGATCTCATGCACTGACAGACACCATTATATGAGAACTGAGCTGGACGATGACATCACGGTTTACTCCACAGCGGCTATATATATATAAATGGACTAAATTAATAACTTTTTTACAACAAAAATGAACCATCACTGAGCTTACTTAAAGCTGCAGTCCGCAGTTTTTCCTCTTTGTTTCGAAATCTGCAATTGCAGTCATTCGCGGAGTGATCAGCTTTACGTGGGTTGTGCCTCGGCACGGCACAGCGCGGATGAACACGATGTTTTGAGGAGTGTGTGCGGCTGTCAATCACCGCCGGTGTGGATAATGGCGTTCGCAATCACAGATTATACTTTTTGGAAGTATGACCAACATAATAATTTTCACCCTAAAATGTAATCTAAACAAGTGAGTAGCATCCACTTTTGTCCTGACCAACTAAGGGGGAAAAAGCATTGCAGTAAATCGCACTGATTAAATCTAACGATCGCGTGTTATATCACGTCAAACCGTGCAAATTATACTTTATTCTCAAGTTGTTAATGTCCAACATCAGTATTGTGTGACTACATTTAAAGCCCTTATGGTATTTATCCTTGTTTTCGCATGGGCCGTTCCAGTCTCTTTTTCCAAACTCTCAGTCCAAAGTCTTCTGTGTTTTACAGCGGGCGAATCTGTTGTCACTGGTGATCGTCGTTTGAACCTTTCTGGATCCGCCATCAAATTGATAAGTTTAATTAGATCAAGTGCTGTGAGAAAAGGCTATAAATCTCCACCTCCAACATCCTCACACTCATAGCCGACTAGCCGAGACTCTTCTTTATGTGTACAGATGTGTGTGTAGAGATGTGTATGTAAATGACGCAAAGACAAGCTCAAATCTCCCGTGGAAATCCACCAGTACCACTGGAATTAAAAACATTATTACAAGCTTAGCGTTTTGAATCGAGCTACGGCAAGCAGAGAGTTTTGAACACTGGCTGGTTATGTACTTGCTCAAAAAAATATTTTGGATAATTTTTAACCCCAAAAACTTACGGACTGCAGCTTTAAGCTGGACTGTGACGCTATTTTCTTCTGGAAATAAACTTTGTTGCATTATTTTCCTGTTATCTCTGTAAAGCTGCTTTGAAACAATCTCTGTTGTAAAATAAAGCTGACTTGACAAATCTGTGATATAACACTTTCTGGCTGTTTAAAAAAGCTAGTTTTGAGAATCAAAAATCCTCTGATAACCCAAAATACTTCTGATACGGATCGAGTCTGACACCCAAAACACTCATACAATCACTGTATCATATCATGTGTAACGGGATGTTCCGTTCTTCTGAAATCTCCAGGCTTTAAACATCTAATGTTTGATTAATGATCTCTCTGTAAACACTCAACACGTGACGAACATGATCATGACACTGAGCTCAGATGATGTGTTGTTTTTACACCTGCCGATCGAAGTCACAAACACAACCTGATCGATTCGCTCAAGTTCTCAAACTCATTTAAACTTTATCTCGATAGTTTCTCTTCTATCGCTCGAACAAACTCAAACGAGATTAAGTTGGTCATCAATAAATAAAGTAAATAAGTTGTAACTCACCGATGCGCTAGATGGACTACCGTAGAGAGACTATTGAGAAACTTATAATGACACCGAGTTTGGAGATCCGAATCTGTTTGGTGAATCGGTTCGTTCGGACGGTTCATTGCATTATTGTTCCAATCATAGAGGTTCCAACACTTCAACCAACTCTCAGCGATCTTTGTGAATCGGTTCGACTGAATCACCAAAAAGAGCCGGTTCAAGTGACCAATTCGTTTGTATTACTAGGACCGAGTCACTTTCATTTCCGTAGGGGGGGTGTAATGATTGATCATCTCGTACAAACAATCAAAATACTCTATGGTATTTTTATAATCGCATTAAGTGTGTTATCAGTATTTGATGTGCACAGTAATAGACTGAACAGCAATTAAATCAAAAGTGCACGTGAATAAGCTCATGTAAAATGGTATGAGCCGATTCATTGTTGAGAGTCCATTGACCTGTGAGTCTGAACTCAAACACATCAAAACAAACCATTAGAGGCTTCTTCAAAGATTCCCACATAAATCGAAGGTTTAAACTCCACAACAAAGAACTATGATGATGTTTTAAGGACTGCCATTCAATTGAGTCTAACCAAACAGAAAATATAACTGGTTCTAGCTTCAGTTCAGTGCCTGTTTAGACGTGTTTCTCTCCGGTAAAGCTTTGCGGTCTCTGTTCTTACTCATCTCTCACTCTCTCTGTCTCTTCCTCTCTATTGTTGAACAACAGTTATGATGCTTTGATGAGGAAGCGGGTTTCTCTCTGAAGTTTGTGTGACATGAGATTCTTTAGTAATGACGTCAAGTGGCATCTTTTCCATAATGACTGTTTAAATATCAACCACAAAATAATCATGTAACATAATGCAACACTCACTAGCTCACAACCGAGAAAATAATGCATGTTCATCATCTCAGTACATTAAGAGCTTGCGGGGGTTTTCATCCTTCAGATGGTGTTCAGTGACCCCTCCTGGACTATATGTTCATGTATAAATACCTAATTTGTTCTGTGATATATATATACTGTATATATAAACAAATTCTTCTAACTGTTGTGCTGTACTGTTAGATGTATTATTTATTTATTTAAATCAGTTTGTTTATATCAAATGTTTTATTAATTTTAATTTTATCACGGATAAGAATAAAATATATACATTTAATCAATAACAAAGTCATTTACACACTCCTGTAGATCATTGCGCTCACAACATCAAGGCCATGGGTTCGATTCCCAACTGATGCATGAACTGGTTATAATATAAACCTTGAATGCAATATTAGTTGCTTTGGATGAAAGTGTTATTCAAATACATAAAAGTTACAGAAATTTCTAATTAGTGAATACGCATTTTTACCCATCAAACCCTATCAATCACCCAGAACACCCTAGAAGCAGCCTAGCAACCACCAACTCTCAGAGTAACTTAGCAACTGCCTAACACCCTAGCAACCACTCAAGGTACCATGCCTAGCAACAACCTAGAAACCACCCAGAATACCCTAATTACCACCCTAGTACCTGCTTAGTAACCACTCAAGGTATCATACCTAGCAACCACCCAAAACACCCTAGCTACCACCTAGTAACCATCCAGAACATCAAAACTACCCAACTAGCAACACCCTAGCAACAATTCAAAACCTAGCAACTGCTTAGCAACCACTCGGAGTACCCTTGAACCCGCAGAGCAACCACTCAGAAAGCTTCAGCAACTGCCCAGCAACAACCTAGAAACAATCCACAACACCCTAGCTACCACCCAGAAACCTTCCAGAACACCATAGGAACTGCCTAGCAACACCATAGCAACCATCCAGAAGACCCTAGCAACTCCATAACAACCACCTAGCAACACCCTAGTAACTGCTTAGTAACCACTCAAGGTATCATGCCTAGCAACCACCCAAAACACCCTAGCTACCACCTAGTAACCATCCAGAACATCAAAACTACCAACTTGCAACACCCTAGCAACAATTCAGAACCTAGCAACTGCTTAGCAACCACTCGGAGTACCCTAGAAACCGCAGAGCAACTAATCAGAACGCTTCAGCGACTGCCCAGCAACAACCTAGAAACAATCCACAACACCCTAGCTACCACCTAGAAACCTCCCAGAACACCATAGGAACTGCCTAGCAATCACCTAGCAACACCATAGAAACCATCCAGAAGACCCTAGCAACTGCATAACCACCTACTAACCATCCAGAACAACCTTGCAACTGCCTAGAAACCACCCTGAACACCCTAGCAACCACCCAGAATACTCTAGCAACCACATAGCAACACCCCAGTGACCACTTAGCAACCATCCAAACAGCTCAGCTTTTTGTAAGCATAATATCAATGAAATGTTTGTTTTAAAAATGCTTATCATGAACTGTAAAATGCACTCAAACTGTAGATAGGTGTCTGAAACACACCAGACGTCTGTACTGACCCGGCCTGATCCTTCTGAACCTCTGTGTCACTCAAGATTCCCCGACACCCACTCGCTCATCACATGACTTCCTGCCGACTCTCTCATAGAACACACTGAGAAGAGACTCGCTCCACGCTCGAGGTCTTCCGTCTTCTGCTCGTGTGTGTGTGTGTGTGTGTGTGTGTGGAGGGCCTCGACACACTGACGGATGATGATGGACAGAGAAGACAAGACAGCAAACTTCCACAGACTCCTATCAGGTGTGTGTGTGTGTGTGTGTGTGACAGTGATCAAGGGACATCATATATCACATCATGGCTTTTTGTTTGAATCATTCATCAGTTTCCTCTGATGATTTAGAGTTTCAACAGAGACTTGACTTCCTTCTTCTGTGGTTTGTTTGCAGAAATGCATCACGCCTCTTTGTTTTTACTCGCTTTAATAGCCAGACGACAGCAAAACAGCTTTTAAAACACAAAAAACTTTCATGAAGTATTAGAATACAGTATGTTTAGTGTTCTTCTTGTGTCTGAATGCATGTGTGTGAACTGTGAACAATGATTTTTCAAAGTTCACTGCCAAAAAAAACCTAAAAACGATTCTTGTTTCCAGCAGAAATATCTAAACATTAATAAATCAAGATACATTTACTTGACAAGCAAAACTACTTGAGATTTTAGGGCTTGTTTACTGAAAAGTTTATCAAAATTAAGTGAGTTTATGCTTAAAACAAGGAAAGATATCTGACAATAATCTTGCTTTCCCTTTGAATTAGTTTTTTTATTGCAATATTCTTGCATATTGAATTTAAAAAATGTTGGCAATTCTTGCATATTGCAATAAAAAAACATAGTATATTCTTGCATATTGCAATAAAAATGTTGCTTATTCTTGCATATTGCAATAAAAAAGCATTGGATATTGCAATAAAAAACGTTGCATATTCTTGCATATTGCAAAAACGTTGCTAATTATTGCATATTGCAATAAAGAACATAGTATATTCTTGCATATTGCAATAAAAAAACGTTGCATATTCTTGCATATTTCAAAAACGTTGCCAATTCTTGCATATTGCAATAATTTTTTTTTGCTTATTCTTGCATATTGCAATAACAACGTTGCCAATTCTTGCATATTGCAATAAAAACATAGTATATTCTTGCATATTGCAATAAAAAACGTTGCCAATTCTTGCATATGGCAATAACAAGACAAGACAAAAATACTAAGCATTTATTTCATTGCAATTTAAACACATTTTTTGCATTGTTGTAAATAAAACAAAGATTATTGTAGTGTTTTACAAGAAGTCTTTCACGTTTAATTCAATGTTCAATTTTTTTAATGAAATTTACAAGCAATTTCTGAATGAAAAACTGTTTTTGTTTTTTAACGATCCTATGATGATATGAATGATGTCCGACAGAGGAGAGCTGCAGCTCGGATGTGTCCAGCGACTCGTGTGAATACTATCAGACGGAGATATTCGGGCTGTTGCCGAGCTCACAGGCTCATCGACGGCCGCACGCAGACGCCGTCACACAGCATCCCGGCGAGGGTCTCGGCACGGCCAGAGTCTCCTGGAACCCCAGTGTCCCGCTCAGAGCTCGACCTGTCTGTCTGCAGGGCAAGAGAGACATCAGGTGAGTCGAATCGCGTCCAGACACAGCAGACGTCCAGGCTAACACAAGGCAGAGTTTGGGCTGTCAGTGAAAATGTAATAGACGTCTAAACCATCGCCCAAAAATAGACTAGTCATCAGTTAGATAACAAAGAAATGAAATAAGTGAAGAAATTAAACCAAACACCATCTCGTTTATCTGTTTATCATGCATCTCGCAAGTTATTTTGGGAAAAACGAAACCAAATGCAAGGTTATTTTGGCTAGAAGTGTGTTACTCATATCCGGACTATATCAGGTCTATAGTTAACCGAGTGCAGGATGACTTAAAATTATTTAAATTAATTAAAGTCCCCTTGTGCTGTAAATCCAGCGTTTAATGTTGTTTATGTGTCTATGTGGTGTTTTTAATACGCTTTAAGACACACCATGTGTAAGTTCATAAGTCGACAGCATTGCTGAGTATTTTCTGCTTAAAACTGCAGTGAACCAAAGACAGTCTCAAAAACACGGTTTGAAATCGCTGGTGTTTCTGACGTCACAAACGACCTTGTAACCAATCAGATCAACGTGTGATCGTCAACCAGTGGATCTCTGAGCTGAGTGAGTGAGTGGAGGCGGGGCTCATCTGCATATTCATAGAGCCGCGCATACTAAACGAGGCAAGGGTGTCGAGTTACATTCAAGATATTTTAAGACATGAAGATTGGAAAAAACTTTTAAATATGTCATTTTGGTGATCAAAGATGAGTTTTAACGGAGACAATGATTGACTACAGGGGGACTTTAACACAAAGCCTACTGTATTATATTTGATACGCACATTTCAAAGGCCTCTAAATGATCAACATGATCGAAACTGCATGAAAAACCTGTTGCACACAATCTGTCGTCTGATTGTTTAGACCTTTTTTAGCAAGTAAACTGAAGCCCACGGTTCTTCAAACTTTTGAAATCACAAAATGAATTGTGCTTTATGTAATAGTTCAGTACTCCAGGTTAAAAGTTAGCAGCTTTATCATAATTACAGCATAAATACAGAAATATCGTAGTCTATATTGGGGAGCCTTCAAACGTTGTATTTTAAGTAGTGGATTGAGTGAATTATCCACAAACGCATCGGCATCTAGTGGTCAGTTTCAGAGTTTCAGTTTTGTTTGTGCCAATCAGAGAGAGGCAGCATGTGCAGAGACGCAGCATTGGCTACTGGGACTCGTGGAGGCGGAGCCAGCAAACCACAAGGCGGCGCTTAAAGGAGCATGTGGGCGGGGCCCTGTCAGGACTGTTGCCATGGAGACACGCGATTCATAAGATCGAAGGTGAGTGTCGAGTATGTAGTGGTGTGCAGATCGAGGCTTCGTGAAACGCTGAAACAGTTGAAGCAAATGTGTCGTATTGTGTCGAGGCTTCGAAATAATCCACGGGGACCCCTAGTGGTCAGAACAGAGTAAATGCAACCAAAAACCCATGCCAAACATGCATAAAAACAAATATACAAATATATATATATTACAAATATATTGCAATATTTTTATTAAGGGTAAAATCTTTCAAATAAGATAATCAAGTGTCTATATGTTCTTTTAGCAATTGTCAGGGTTTGTTTTGTTTGTTCTATGAATGGCTCAGCTAAACAAGCCAATAGACTACTACATTAATGTTAAATTAGCATAATTACATCTGATCCACAGGCCAGTTTGGTGTCGGGGTGAAGGCGTACTTTGTGTTTCTGCGGTATTTGCTGTGGTTGAACCTGCTTTACTGCGTGATCATCGCCGGCTCTGTGCTGACGCCAACGCTGGTGTTCAGGCAGGACTCAGGTACGAACACTAGGACCGGCCGTTCACTCCGAGGACAGGCAAAACTACTCCAGATTTTAAAGCTTGTTTTCCGAAAAGTTTATCAAAATTAAGTGAGTTTATGCTTAAAACAAGGAAAGATATCTGCCAATAATCTTATTTTTCCTTTGAATTAGGTTTTTTTATTGCAATATTCTTGCATATTGAATAAAAAAAGTTGCCCATTTTTGCATATTGCAAAAAACGTTGCATATTATTGCCTATTGCAATAAAAAATGTTGCATATTATTGCATATTGCAATTTTTTTTGCATATTCTTGCATATTGAATAAAAAAAGTTGCCAATTTTTGCATATGGCAAAATCCCTCAGCATATTCTTGCATATTGAATAAAAAAAGTAGCCAATTTTTGCATATGGCAAAATCCCTCAGCATATTCTTGCATATTGAATAAAAAAAGTAGCCAATTTTTGCATATTGCAAAAAATGTTGCATATTCTTGCATATTGAATAAAAAAAGTTGCCAATTTTTGCATATGGCAAAATCCCTCAGCATATTCTTGCATATTGAATAAAAAAAGTAGCCAATTTTTGCATATTGCAAAAAACGTTGCATATTCTTGCCTATTGCAATAAAAAATGTTGCATATTATTGCATATTGCAATCTTTTTTGCATATTCTTGCATATTGCAATAAAAAAAGTTGCCAATTTTTGCATGTTGCTAAAAAAGCGTTGCATATTATTGCATATTGCAATAAAAGAGTTCACATCACAACTATAACGATAACGGCACATTCAGAACGATATCGTTGGAATCACATTCAGAATGGTAATTTTTTCAGCTGATGAACGATAAAAACATTGACAGCCAATGGGAATCCATCCTGCTTTAAAAGCTCAAGTATTTAAAGCGGCGGACAACAAAACTGCAGCGCACTTTTAAGGCTCGTTCACACCAATAACTAAAGATAACTATATTAGCGTCCACACCAGCGCACAATATCTTTCTGTTTATTATAAGCGCGGTGCAGTTTTGTTGTCTGCGGCTTTAAATGTGCAGAAAGCGATTTCTGAGAAACGCTGTTTGAAATGGAACAGACCGAGCACCAAAACACACAATAGCCAATCAGCAGTGAGGGGCGTGTCCACGCATTAGGGGGGAGGGGCCTGTGTTGCATAGTGTGTTCATGGATTTGTGGGCGGGGCTATACAGTTAGGGGTGTGGTCCTGTCGGGTAGGGGCGTGTTTGTTTTGGTGATTTCAAATAACGGTTTCTCACAAATTGCTCACTGCACCTTTAAATGCTCGAGCTCTTTAAAGCAGGATGGATTCTGATTGGCTGTCAGTGTTTTTATCGTTCATCGGCTGGAAAAAATCGTTCTGAAAGTGATTCCAATGATATCTTTCCTTTGTGCCGTTAATATGATTGTTTGTGTATAATTTGCTAATCTTTTTAGATTTTTAGAAATATATCTTGTCCTTGGTGTGAATGCTAATGTAGTTATAATTATAGAAATATTTACAGTTATCATTTTTGGTGTGAACAGGCCTTTAGAGTTGATGCACTAAAACTGACCTATTATGTCATATGAAATCTTTTTTTTTTAGGCCATCCAAAAAAAATCTTTGGATATAAAGACATTTTTGTCGGATCAGTAAGTAATTTTATGATTATCACTCTCTAATTTCCACACTGATCATCATTTTCAGATTTTATTTAATTAACTCATTTACCATAAATGAAAACTCACTCTCGGTAACCAGAAAAGAAAAGTCATGTGGTTTGTTATGCTGCATTTGCCTTTATATTGAGTTATGTTTCCTTTCTGTAATGTAGTAAAAACAGTTTTTATTCTATTTCCTGACATTTCACAACTGCCTATTGTTTTTGATAGTACATGCACAGATATAAATGTATGTATGGGGATTACAGTTAACCAGGATATTGTTTTAATGGTTTACGGCAGTCAGATTTATGTTTATTTGCATGTAAAAAAGGTCACTGTCTTGTTTTTTCATCTGTCTTCAACACTCTGCATGCTCTCTCTCTCTCTCTCTCTCTCTCTCTCTCTCTCTTCTGTTCTGGTTCTCTCTGTGTTTTCCAGGGTGTTCTTGAAAACTCTCCAGTGTTTCATAGTTTCTACACTCGTGGGTCTCTAGATTTGGCCTGTTTAAACACTCCACTCCTCTTTCTACTTGGCATGATCTCTGTCCTCTTTCTCAGCATCATCATGGTGGTCCGCAGGTCAGATCATTCACCCTGAGCTATTAGACCAATGTTCCTGCTTCAGTGCAACTCACAGATTGAGATTTCAGCCGAAACATGCATTTGCTGCTCTTGACTGCTAAGTGGCGCTATAACCATAGACTGAATCAACAGCATCATGTCTAATTGTCTCTCAGTTTGCAGATGCTGTGCATAGAACTGAACAGCTATTGAACTGGGAACATTCATATTGGCAACACACGTGTACATGTGTTTCTCATTTTAATTGTTGTGAATGGATTCATTAATATGTGAGTGAATGCAAAAGTTTTGTGAGTGAAATTATTAAAAAAATTATATTAAGCAAACAAAGTTTCTTGGTAGAATGCAAAAGTTTGGTGAACAAATGGAAAAGTTTGTGAGTGAATGCAAAAGTTTTGAGACTGAATGCAAAAGTTTTGAGCAGGGACGTCGCTAGGCCCTTTTTGGGGGGCTTCAGCCCTAAACTTCTGCCTAGCCCCCCTAAAAATGTGTGATTAATGTAGGCTACACAAATTCATGTTCGCTTCAGTCTTGTTATAATCAGATTCAGCGCGTTCTTCATCTTCAATCCGCAGCGGCGCCGAGCAGAGAGCACGTCAGAAACAGAGCACAGGGTGTGTGTGTGTGTGTGTGTGTTCATCTGAGCCTCATTGGTCTGTCACTGCTCGTCAATGTCAGAATATTTGAGATGACCAATAAAATCAAAGTGCGACTCGACGCGTACGGTCAAGTGCGAGATAAGATGTAAGTAGCTAAACTTAACATTTCATATTTTACTTTTTTTATGTCATAAATGTTAAACGAATGACGAAAAATAATCAGGCAAACTAATATAGTTGTGTCTAATTTCGCCATTTTGAACTGAAAATAGGCTGTAACGTGACTCATGTAATGTAATAATTAGTTTACAAGAAACATTAACAAAGCCGTTTTCATCATGTTAGGCACAAGATTAATAATGAATGTGTACATATTGAGAATATAATACAAATTGTAGCCTTTAGTAAATTAAAAAAGCTCAGCTTTAGGAGGGGAAGAGAAAGGGATGAAGAGACTGAGAAAAAAGAAAGAGTGATGGAGATGAGAAGAGAGCAGGTATTGACAAATAATCTGCCCACTGACATGGTTTTAAAGCTATTTCTTATCCTTTTTTTTGGTCTTCAAACGTCTTGAAATGCACATATCAGAGAAATAAAAAATTTGAACCCCCTACCAACCTCAAATTTAGGACCTCTGTGACTAAAGCCCTGTCTACGGCCCTGTATTAGGCATTAGATCAATAATAAATGTGTAGCCTACATATTGTGAATGCATTTAATAAACGTAATTACCTTTAGTAGCTTTCAGTAAATAAACGCGTCTGAGAAAATGATTCATAGGCAAAATCAACCTATCAGTTGACCCTATGTTTATTTTCTTCACTGACAGACAAAAATGAAAAGCCTATATCAGTCAAAGCTCAGCTGGGCGAGATAAAAACAAAGAGAAAAAGAGTGTGATGCTGATGAGGAGAGAAAAATTATCAGCTGCCCACTATCCAAGTTTTTTGGCCTTCAGAACATCTTAAAATGCACATATGTAGATCAGAGAAATCAAAATTTTTTCGGGGAGACCCAGAACCCCCATATTTGCCCTACCTCACATTTGGGACCACAGTTATTATAAAACCGTGCCTTTGCATCGTAATGAAAATGGTTTATAGTGAGCTTTAGATCCTAAACTAAAGTGTTACCTTTTTTTATAATTTAAAAAAAAAAAGTAATATTGGGGGCTTAGCCCCCCCTAAAATGAAAATCCTAGTGACGCCCCTGGTTTTGAGACTGAATGGAAAAGTTTTGAGACTGAATGCAAAAGTTTGAGTGAATGCAAAAGTTTTTAAAACTGAATGCAAAGGTTTTGTGATTGAATGCAAAAGCAATTAAATCTAAGTTTCCTCCGACCTCATCATTTTGTCCATCTCCGTGTCCCTTAGGGTCTCTGTACACTGATGTCTATTCTCTCTTTCAGGACGGTTGTGGGATACAAACACTCGTGGCTCACTGGAAACCGCCTCAGTTCAAACCTGAGCTACAAGGTTTTCTGTGGGTGGGATTTCAGTATTCAGGACTCGCAAGCAGCAACACTGAAACAAAACTTCATCAGAAACGAACTGAAGGTGAAAGGTCAACACGAGCTTCACGTATCTGTCATGTCAGACTCAGAGTTTATAAAGAGGTTCAGATACAGGAACAGGATTCGGGTTGTGCAACATTTTTCTAAATTGCATAATCATTTGTTAACAAACAAGCATTCATTTGTTTAATTAGCTCATTGTTTCTGCATTAAATTATTACATTGTTTAAATTAATACCTTTTTTCGCTAACTGTGATTTTGTATATGTATTTCTGAAATGCATAACTTAGACAGTCTCCTCTGATAATATAATTGTAACGTGGACTCGTACACTTTCAGTAAAGCTGCTTTGAAATGATGTGTGTTGTGAAAAGCGCTATACAAATAAATGTGAATTGAATTGTGTGCATGACCTCTGACCTCTTCTCCAGATGGATCTAGAAGAGCAGAAGTTTCACGAGCGGGTCCAGCGGCGATCGCTCAGACTCTGGGTTCGGCTCATCCTCCTGCGGGTCTTTCTGAACATCATTGTGCTGGTTCTTCTGGGAAGCGCATTCGCTCTGATCTTTTACAGCATCGTTCTGTCACAAGAGAAGGTACTGTACATGTATAAAGGTAAAACGAATAGTCTTGATGTTGTTTTCAGGCTCTACTAGAGCAGATTCTGCTTGAATGTTGATTATTTTCCTCATATTCTCCATTGTTGCGGCTCCTCTCTTCCCAGTCTGTCAGTAATGCTCTGTTTACTTCCTGTCTCTATGAAGCCCCTCCTTCTGAAAAGCACACTGTGCTCTGATTGGTCGGCTGGAGCAGTGTGTTGTGATTGGTCGAGCGCTTCGAGTGTTGGAGAATGTCCCGCCCCTTTCCATAACCGCCAGTTTAACACACTACTGGCTAACTCAACCAGGCCCCGCCCCTTTATTCTGCGTATGAATTATTATAATGAGGAATATTGTGACGTGTTCCCAGAAGAAACTCAAGCAGAATGGATGTTTAAGAAAGTGAGTTCAGTTGTGTTTCCTAATGATTGTCTCTCTTGTCACTATAAGGTTCTTAACTGGTCTCTGATGTTGGAGTATCTTCCTCCAATCACAATGGCGACGATAAACTACATATTGCCGCACATCTTCAGTAAAGTCTCAGAGTTTGAAGATTATTCACTCACCATCCAGCTCAACCTCACCCTGATCAGGTCAGAAAGGTCATGCCCTTTGACCTCTAGTGTGTGTTACATGTTCCTGTAGTATTAAAAACAGCACAATCTCAACTACTTGATTTTTTTTATTTAATTGCAATTTGCAAAATGTAAATTATCGCCCTGCTCTTTATATGAAGCTGAATATATTGGTTCGTACAACTTTATCCGCATACATAAAGTATATTCACATGCAGTTTGATTGTTTATGTGATTGCAAAATGTAAACTATACTATCGTCCAGCTCTAATCTTCTAAATGCAACTATAAGGCATGAAGATATTAAGATATTATAAACATAACCTCATGATATTCTGTTAAGCTGCTTTGAAACGATGTGTGTCAAAATAGGCCTTGACTTAAACTCATGTGAATATTACAGGAGTATTTTCCTGAAGTTGGCGTCTTTGGGCATCTATCTGTTCTTCCTCCTCATAAGATCTCCAACCGAACACCAGGTTTGTTCACAGTTGTTTCTCCTAGACAACAATGAGATTCCATGATGGGGACTTTTGAATTCTTTTTGCTCAGATTTGCAGAGAACCCTGCGGAGAGAACGCGTTCGGGAAGGAGATGTACAAACTCACCGTCTTCAACTTCCTGGAGTGTTTCTTCAATGCGTTTTTTGTGGCTTACCCAAGAACGTGAGTTACTTAAACTTCATTGAACCCGGTTTAGCTAAAATATTTACCCCTCAGGTTAATACTATTAGTAAGCATTTCAATAATTTAACACATTCGCTTGTTCACGGATGTCGGTTAATGCTCGTAAGACACAAATTATTATCTTTTTGTAATTGACCGTTCGCAGGCCCCTCCCCCAAAATGGCTATTGTCCAATCACACATCATAGCAACCGTTACTATGTGAGCAGGTCCGTCAAACATTGACTCCAAGCAAGATGGTAAAGCGGTGCGCCCACGGCATTTGTAAATCGGACACTAGATATCCCGAGAGATTGTCTGGAGGAGTTGTGTTCTTTCCGTTTCAAAAGCCGAAAACACAACGTGCGCGGTCCATACAATGGATAAAACAGTGTGGACGGCCCCACTCCCAGTTACATGTGTCGAACATGGTTAACTCGCGTGCAGCGTGCGTGAGACTGAGACACTGAGATTAGTCAAAGACACATGGAGAAAGCAGATCAAGAGGATCCACAAAGGAAGTACGTTTTCTAAAGTGTTGTTGTTAACATGATATTTTCGGGGGTAAATGAAATATCGTAACGAATAGAAATAATGTATGGTTATCTGCATCTTTCCGTCTATTATGTATTACTTTTTAAACACGACAATCGCATTCAGCATGACACGCAAGCGGTTGCCGTGGTAATGAACAACCTGCTTGTTAAAGCGAACGAATAATCCTGTATCTGAGGCAAAGGTTTTAAGAGCGAACGCAAAGTTTCTCGTAACGCCAAGGTTTTAAGAGCGAACGCAAAGTTTCTCGTAACGCCAAGGTTTTATGAGCGAACACAAAGTTTCTCGTAACGCAAAGGTTTTAAGAGCGAACGCAAAGTTTCTTTTAACGCAAAGGTTTTAAGAGCGAACGCAAAGTTTCTCGTAACGCCAAGGTTTTATGAGCGAACACAAAGTTTCTCGTAACGCAAAGGTTTTAAGAGCGAACGCAAAGTTTCTTGTAACGCAAAGGTTTTAAGAGCGAACGCAAAGTTTCTCGTAACGCAAAGGTTTTAAGAGCGAACGCAAAGTTTCTCGTAACGCAAAGGTTTTATGAGCGAACACAAAGTTTCTTGTAACGCAAAGGCTTTATGAGCGAACACAAAGTTTCTTGTAACGCAAAGGTTTTATGAGCGAACGCAAAGTTTCTCGTAACGCAAAGGTTTTAAGAGCGAACGCAAAGTTTCTCGTAACGCAAAGGTTTTAAGAGCGAACGCAAAGTTTCTCGTAACGCAAAGGTTTTAAGAGCGAACGCAAAGTTTCTCGTAACGCAAAGGTTTTATGAGCGAACACAAAGTTTCTTGTAACGCAAAGGTTTTATGAGCGAACACAAAGTTTCTTGTAACGCAAAGGCTTTATGAGCGAACACAAAGTTTCTTGTAACGCAAAGGTTTTATGAGCGAACGCAAAGTTTCTCGTAACGCAAAGGTTTTATGAGCGAACGCAAAGTTTCTTGTAACGCAAAGGTTTTATGAGCGAACGCAAAGTTTCTCGTAACGCAAAGGTTTAATGAGCGAACGCAAAGTTTCTCGTAACGCCAAGGTTTTAAGAGCGAACGCAAAGTTTCTTGTAACGCAAAGGTTTTATGAGCGAACGCAAAGTTTCTCGTAACGCCAAGGTTTTATGAGCGAACGCAAAGTTTCTCGTAACGCAAAGGTTTTATGAGCGAACACAAAGTTTCTTGTAACGCAAAGGTTTTAAGAGCGAACGCAAAGTTTCTCGTAACGCAAAGGTTTTATGAGCGAACGCAAAGTTTCTCGTAACGCAAAGGTTTTATGAGCGAACACAAAGTTTCTTGTAACGCAAAGGCTTTATGAGCGAACACAAAGTTTCTTGTAACGCAAAGGTTTTATGAGCGAACGCAAAGTTTCTCGTAACGCCAAGGTTTTTAGAGCGAACGCAAAGTTTCTTGTAACGCAAAGGTTTTATGAGCGAACGCAAAGTTTCTCGTAACGCAAAGGTTTATTGAGCGAACGCAAAGTTTCTCGTAACGCAAAGGTTTTAAGAGCGAACGCAAAGTTTCTCGTAACGCAAAGGTTTTAAGAGCGAACGCAAAGTTTCTCGTAACGCAAAGGTTTTATGAGCGAACACAAAGTTTCTTGTAACGCAAAGGCTTTATGAGCGAACACAAAGTTTCTTGTAACGCAAAGGTTTTATGAGCGAACGCAAAGTTTCTCGTAACGCAAAGGTTTTAAGAGCGAACGCAAAGTTTCTCGTAACGCAAAGGTTTTAAGAGCGAACGCAAAGTTTCTTGTAACGCAAAGGTTTTATGAGCGAACACAAAGTTTCTTGTAACGCAAAGGCTTTATGAGCGAACACAAAGTTTCTTGTAACGCAAAGGTTTTATGAGCGAACACAAAGTTTCTCGTAACGCAAAGGTTTTAAGAGCGAACGCAAAGTTTCTCGTAACGCAAAGGTTTTAAGAGCGAACGCAAAGTTTCTCGTAACGCAAAGGTTTTAAGAGCGAACGCAAAGTTTCTTGTAACGCAAAGGTTTTATGAGCGAACACAAAGTTTCTTGTAACGCAAAGGCTTTATGAGCGAACGCAAAGTTTCTTGTAACGCAAAGGTTTTATGAGCGAACACAAAGTTTCTTGTAACGCAAAGGTTTTATGAGCGAACGCAAAGTTTCTCGTAACGCAAAGGTTTTAAGAGCGAACGCAAAGTTTCTCGTAACGCAAAGGTTTTAAGAGCGAACGCAAAGTTTCTTGTAACGCAAAGGTTTTATGAGCGAACACAAAGTTTCTTGTAACGCAAAGGCTTTATGAGCGAACGCAAAGTTTCTTGTAACGCAAAGGTTTTATGAGCGAACACAAAGTTTCTTGTAACGCAAAGGTTTTATGAGCGAACGCAAAGTTTCTCGTAACGCAAAGGTTTTATGAGCGAACGCAAAGTTTCTTGTAACGCAAAGGTTTTATGAGCGAACGCAAAGTTTCTCGTAACGCAAAGGTTTAATGAGCGAACGCAAAGTTTCTCGTAACGCCAAGGTTTTAAGAGCGAATGCAAAGTTTCTTGTAACGCAAAGGTTTTATGAGCGAACGCAAAGTTTCTCGTAACGCCAAGGTTTTATGAGCGAACGCAAAGTTTCTCGTAACGCAAAGGTTTTATGAGCGAACACAAAGTTTCTTGTAACGCAAAGGTTTTAAGAGCGAACGCAAAGTTTCTCGTAACGCAAAGGTTTTATGAGCGAACGCAAAGTTTCTCGTAACGCAAAGGTTTTATGAGCGAACACAAAGTTTCTTGTAACGCAAAGGTTTTAAGAGCGAACGCAAAGTTTCTCGTAACGCAAAGGTTTTATGAGCGAACGCAAAGTTTCTCGTAACGCCAAGGTTTTATGAGCGAACACAAAGTTTCTTGTAACGCAAAGGCTTTATGAGCGAACACAAAGTTTCTTGTAACGCAAAGGTTTTATGAGCGAACGCAAAGTTTCTCGTAACGCCAAGGTTTTTAGAGCGAACGCAAAGTTTCTTGTAACGCAAAGGTTTTATGAGCGAACGCAAAGTTTCTCGTAACGCAAAGGTTTAATGAGCGAACGCAAAGTTTCTCGTAACGCCAAGGTTTTAAGAGCGAACGCAAAGTTTCTTGTAACGCAAAGGTTTTATGAGCGAACGCAAAGTTTCTTGTAACGCAAAGGTTTTAAGAGCGAACACAAAGTTTCTCGTAACGCAAAGGTTTTATGAGCGAACGCAAAGTTTCTCGTAACGCAAAGGTTTTATGAGCGAACGCAAAGTTTCTTGTAACGCAAAGGTTTTATGAGCGAACGCAAAGTTTCTCGTAACGCAAAGGTTTTAAGAGCGAACGCAAAGTTTCTCGTAACGCAAAGGTTTTATGAGCGAACACAAAGTTTCTTGTAACGCAAAGGCTTTATGAGCGAACGCAAAGTTTCTTGTAACGCAAAGGTTTTATGAGCGAACGCAAAGTTTCTCGTAACGCAAAGGTTTTAAGAGCGAACGCAAAGTTTCTTGTAACGCAAAGGTTTTATGAGCGAACGCAAAGTTTCTCGTAACGCAAAGGTTTAATGAGCGAACGCAAAGTTTCTCGTAACGCAAAGGTTTTATGAGCGAACGCAAAGTTTCTTGTAACGCAAAGGTTTTAAGAGCGAACGCAAAGTTTCTTGTAACGCAAAGGTTTTATGAGCGAACGCAAAGTTTCTCGTAACGCCAAGGTTTTATGAGCGAACGCAAAGTTTCTCGTAACGCAAAGGTTTTATGTGCGAACACAAAGTTTCTTGTAACGCAAAGGTTTTAAGAGCGAACGCAAAGTTTCTCGTAACGCAAAGGTTTTATGAGCGAACGCAAAGTTTCTCGTAACTAGGGTTGGGTATCGTTTGAGTTTTATCCGATACCAGTACCTACTCGGTATTTTTTAAACGGTTCCGGTGCTTAAACGGTTCTTAAATCGGTACTTAAGAAAATGAAACCGCACACACTTTATCAAAAAATAATACCCTTTAATTTACAGGGCCAAACTGGACACAATATTAACTTAAATCTTTAAACCATATAAATACAAGTAGCATATGGTAATAATAAAACCAATATAAAATAAAAATTAATATTTACATAATATCAAATGAAACAATATTGTATCAAACAATGTAATAATACTGGAGATTAATAGAGATTACTAGCAGGCAGAGCTGCCAACTCTCACGCATTGACCGTGAGACTCACGCAAATGACCCTTTTCACACAGAAAAATCGCAGACAAAGAGGACACTGACACCGACAGACAAGACAGAGAAGGTTACTTTTGATATGGAACAAATCCACAGCTGTCAGATTCTGTCAATATGTTTACGAGATTCACACAATAAATAACGTTTTGGCTCTTTGAAATGTGACAGATCGCTGTAGCGCGTCAGTTCAAACGGCACGTGATACGGCAGCCTACAAATCCACTGCTTCTTAGCTACGCAGCGTTGAGTGAACCTATGAAAGAGAACATCTCTGGTTACTGGTGTAACATA